ATAACAAAAAACAAAAATATACTACTCCGTTCGTCCATTATTAATCTTCCCGCTTTGACTCGATGTGCAAATTTATGTGAAATGAAAAAAAGATTGACTTTCCTAAATTACCCTACACCCAACCCTCTCAACCTCTCAATTGGTCCGCCTCCACCCAACCTTCTCGCCCTCACCATTGGCATGTCCATCCAAGTCTAAAACTTAAGGTGTCGTCCTTCTAATTTAACTCACCACCGTCAATCGTAGCTCCTCCTGCACCACAATAGGATGTCGTCATCTCCACCTTCCTCTTAGATCTAGATTGGAATCTTCAGATTTATGGAGATAGGATACAACGTTATGAGATCCATCCAAATAAAGAAAGGTTTACACCCTCAAACATCATATCTATCCCTATTGATGATGTCCTGGGGGAGGAGGAGGAGGAAGAAAAAGAAGAAGAAGAAGATCAAAGAAGAAGAAGAAGAAGAGGGTGTGGCTGGACAAAATCAGATGTGAGAAAAGAACAAAAGAAAGAAGAAGAAATGAGTGGGGTGGCTACTGGAGCGGTAGAGTAGGAAGAAAAACAGAGTGGGGACTGTGGGTATTTAAGCCTTTTAAACATATAAAATTTCTTAAAATATGAAATAGGAAGATAATTTATGAGCAGAGAAGAAAGGGAAGTGGGAAGATGGTTTAAGGATGGAGGGACTATTCCGTAACAAATTATAAAAGTATTTAATGGACTTATGACTCCTATTTTGGTATTTTCATTATTTTTCATTGTTTTGCTCACAGAAGCCCTTGTACCGCACTTAGTTGATATTATTGTCCATTATTTGAAATTCATTGGCATTAAAAATAAGGGTACATTTATTGTCTTTTATAAAATGATGAAAAGATAGTAAATTGGATGTAAGAGAGGAGGCATGGTGAAGGGAAGAGAGATGATATTCACCATGGAGTGTATGAATCGAGCATACGCTTGTGTGTGACTGGGAGGTTGTGACTGTTACCTACAGTAATCGTATTAGTACCAGTACATGGATGAGGAGGTTGGAGCTATGAATAATCATGTGTAACATGGGTGTTGGCACATGTGTCCATATACCGATCACCAAATTGATTGCTAATGGATACATGCTACACAAGGGCCACTCATAAAAGAGTTTGCAGCATAAGATTCATCACAGTGGTACCAACATATGGTGGAATGTCCTTGTTTGTCACAAATCTGGCGTACGTATAGGAAGATCACGAGGTGGAACACGGCCAGACCTACGACCACAACTTTGCCCATGACCTGAGTTGTAATAGTTGTGACAAGACGATGGTTGATCACGGCCTTGACCGCCTATAGAGACCAAGGTAGTGCACATCTCTCCGGAAGAAGACTCAATCAGGATAAGCTTTTGTTCCATCTCAATATTAATTTCCTCCAAAGTGAGCCATCGGAAAGTTGATTGAGAGTAATTTCTCCTTTTTGTAGACAAATGTTTTGTTTGAAAGAAGCACACTCTGCAAGGAGCTCACGGATAATGGCATTGACAACATCACATTCAGGGATGTGTTCACGCAAGGCATCTAGGCCTAGAAGGATAGTGGAAACTTCATGAAGGTATTGTGTCATAGACTAGGTATCTTTTCACAAAGTTGATAGATCTGAGCAATAGGGACGGAGTTGTACCTTGTTGCTAAGACATGTAACAAGGTGGTAAAGCCAGGATCATGTTTATGAATGGTAGGAATGATGATGGGGAGAAGACATGCCTGAATCTGAGTGTTAATCATGATCCACGAAGCATAAGCAAGATTAGGAGTTGCAACTCCTTCCATTGTGATCATCATTAGGAGTTGCAACTCCTTCCAACCCAACAGGATATTGGCCTCAAGCATGGTTTGAACATTTAGAGACCATGCATGGTTGTTTGTACCTGTGAATTTTTTAGGGTAAAGATTATGATGGTTCTAGAGTAGAAATTTGACTCCGGTAAAATAGAGGCGAGGGGATCGAGCGACATAGCATTAGTCAACTGAAAAAGAAGAGATAATGTGTTTTCTGATAAAAAAAAAAGGCTAGGTTTGTGAAAGAAACCTTAACTCTGATGCCATGATATGGTTTGGTAATAGTTAGCTTTATTGAATAATGAAAGTTCTATCTTTATATATAGAGAATATAAGAGAGAATCTTAGAGGCTATTTGTTTCAGCCTCTTAATGGTTCAGCACTTAATAGTTCACACTGTTTGTTTCAGCCTCTTAATGGTTCAGATGTCTGAATGGTTAAGAGATTTGCCTCTGAATGGTTAAGTATTATACAGAGTCTGAATGGTTAAGACCTCTTATCTGAATTGATCATACATTTGTCTCTGAATAGTTAAGCAATATACAAGCTCTTAATGGTTAAGACCTCTTACTGATTCAGCACTTAATGGTTCAGACCTCTTACTGGTTCAGCACTTACCTATTCAGAAGTTGCCAAACAGCCCCTTAATCAGAGTAGAATAACAATTATAAAAATAATAGAATAAGGAAAGTGATTAATAGTTTTAATCCAACTTTTGATGATTTCTAAAACCTCTAATGGTATAGATTTCGTTTCAAAACAACATTTTCAATTAGCGTTAGAATTTTGGATAAAATTTTAACGCTACAGTGTAAATTGATTTCGAAATGCTACAACTAAACTTTGTTGTTAAAAAGTCTTTTCAAAATACTAAAGCTAAACATTGAAGATGTTTTCAAACATGCCTATAAATTATCTTTGAAAATACTAAAGTTAAAAGATGCCGTTAAATAATTTTTTTTAAACGGTATCTCTAGACCTTGCAAAACATGACCAAAACCGACTACACAAACCGAATGATCCAGAACTAAAATCAAATGATCCGAAAAGTGAAGATTCGATCTATAACTGAAAAATTGAAACGATCCGAACTGAACCAAAACTAAACTAATAATATCGATACCCGATTAAAATAAGAAACCGATCAGATCTAACCAATTAAACTCGAACTCGATAATATCCAAAACCAATAATACCTAAAACTTATAAAACCTGAAACCGATAAGATCTGAAACTAATAATGCCCAAAACCGATCATATCCAGAACTAATTCTTCCTTACATTAAACATATTATATTTATGTACATTAGTGCATAATTACATTCATGTGATTTCAAATTTTTATTTTAGCATTTCAGCTAGTTATATTATTTATTCTCTCTGTTCAAAAATAAATTATGATTACAAAGAACCATTAATGAAATTTACTAAAATTATACTAAATTACATGAAGAAACTCGATTTTTGCCTAATTACATCTGATCACATTTTCTTTTAAACTTATTTACTCAATTTCACTAAATTACATTCAATTTCACCAATATTTTATCTAACTACATTCAATTTCACTCAATTCAACACATTTAAACCAAAATTGTAAGTCATTTATCAAATTCCACTCAATTTTTCTAGTGAAATTTGCACTAAATACGACTAAATATAATGACTTTCCTAATGTAGGACTTAAACTTTTTTATTCCCTAAATAGTACTTAATAATGACCTAGTGGAAAGAATAATGTCCAGTAATGATGGACATTTAGTTGAATAATGACTACTTGATAATGACCAAAGGTCCTACATTGGGAAATAAAAACATATGGTCATATATTGGAAAAGTCATTATGTTTTAGTCCTATTTAGGTAAATTTTTCATTTTTCTATAATCACTTTAGTCTTAACCAACTGAGACACTTATTTGACATAAATTTAAATGAATTTATCAAAGTTTTACTTAATTTTATTTAACTTTTATCTCATTAAACTCAATCTTAATTGATTGAAATAGTCTAATTTAGCTTTTATCTCTGTACGTCCTTGACTCGAACTCATGCACTGCACTGTAAGAAAATTAAATTAAAAATTAAACTTCATAACATTTAATATTACTTAAATGCAATCCAATTATATGCAATTGCATTCAATTTAGGTATGAAATTGATAGTATTTCATCTAATTGGATTTTATTTTATTAAATATCAACAAAATGCATCCAAATTCACCTAATTTTTAACATAAATGTATTCAACTTCATCTAATTAGGAATAAAATTGATTGAGTTTCAATTAATTTCACTAAATTTTTCACTCAATTGTATTCAATCTCATTCAGTTGCACTAAATTTTAGGAGTAAAATTGAGTGAATTTTAATTAATTTCACCTAATTTCACCAATTACATTCAATTTCATTACTAAATATAGTTTTTTCATAATTTGTACGGAGTAGTTCAAATTTCTAAAATATGACTAAAAAGTAAAAATGGAAGACTATATGAGGTGATGCCTTGATGATCAAAAAAGTGACATGGGCAATTAAATTTAATTTGAAAATAACATATATGCAAAATGTGTCTATATCAAATTATATCTCAAACCAAAATATATCTGAAACCAATATATATCCGATTGGAATATATATGAAATCCATCTGAACTAATTGGTATCCAAACCCTATGAACCGACCTGAAATCAAACTGGAATCGAAAACTGTAAACTGAAATTAATCCGAATAGATTAAAACATACTCCCTCCGTCCCAAATTATTTGCAACGTTTGTTTTTTCAGCAGTCGCGAGAACTTTTGTTTATTTCTACGTTTTCATTGGTCATTTGATAAAATAAAATATTCTTGACACCTCTTATTTCAAAGAACTTTTCATATAGTTTTTTATATGTAAATTTTATTTTTTATTTCTATACCAATATGTAAATAAAATGAATTGAAAAAACTTGATATTTTGCCTCGGGAATACAAATGTGGCAAATATTTAGGGACGGAGGAAGTATATCCAAAAAGATATCTGAACCGATCCAAGCTACTTAAAAACATATTCCGTCAAAGAGAATAAATTCAAATCAGAACAGATCCAAACGGATTAAAAACATATTCCGTCAAAGGGAATAATTTCAAATGAGAACCGATCATTGCGAGGTCTAGGTTATCTCTAACCTTTTATGAAGATAAACCCTTTGTTTTTAGAGGACGAAAAAGGAAATTTTGGGATGAGAAAAAATTCAAAGTTTCTAAGGGGGGCAATAAATTTCATCCCAAAAACTAAACTTATTTGTTGGTTTTATTACTTTTATACGGAGTATATAATATGAGGTCCTCCCACTCCTCCGTCAACTTTACTAAATCTATTACTGGATTCTTCCCCTATTGATAAATAATCTCTACAATTGCGTGAATTCACAATGGCTAATTCCTTATTATGCTCGTCCAAGTTCATGTTACTCTTGTTTATCGTCTCAGCCATTCCCATCGCCTTCATCGTTCATCTCGAAACCGCCGGCAAGACGGCTACTGGCACTATTGAGTACCACAGCACCGGCTGGCTCCGGGAGTGTGCCAAGTGGGACGAGCAAGGCCGTCGATTCATAGTCACCATCTTCGACGGCGGCGTCGGCCAGATCCCTGTCCCCGTCGATTACGGCGGCGACTCTGCCTCACCGCCGCCGATCCTCCTTGAAACTCCTGTCGTCAAGGATGCAGACTTGTCCGGGAATTCCTCGCTCGGCCTCGCGATTGACCGGCGCCGGGACCGTATTCTGGTGGCGATCTCCGACGTCATCAGGAATCGGTTCAGTGGAGTGGCAGCCTACGATTTGTCAACGTGGAATCGGCTCTTTCTCACTAAACTCAGCGGCGCAGGTACTTTTTCTTAAACTTTTGGGTTTTAACAACAATTTCATTTTCCATTTATCCGCCGCAATGTCACCATTCTTACATACTCCAATAAATTAAACATGTTTTACTGTCGTAGTTTAAATTATATGTTTACTATTCATAGGCATTAACCATGTTCTTGACTCATTTTCGTGACCCATTTGATAAACTATTACATTTTGTTTTGTAGAACTTTTGAATGAGTATAATCTTATCATTTTTTATTTTGTAGAACTTTTGATTCCTTAATCATTTTCAAATAAATTGAATTGAAAATAATGTGAGTGAAACCTCTTAAACAACAACGTGCAAACTCTTTTTGGGACAGAGACTCAGAGAGAGTATTTATTAACAACACTTGATTAATTTTATGGTGCAGAGGATGAAAAATCATTTGCAAATGATGTGGCGGTTGATGAGGTTGGGAATGCATATATAACAGACACTAGAGGCGGTAAGATATGGAAGATTGGGAGAGATGGAGAGTTGAAGCACATAATAAGGAGTCCCTTATTCACTCCTAAAGAATGGTACAAGAGGTTGGTGGGACTCAATGGCATAGTGTATCATCCAAATGGGTACTTGCTAGTCCTTCACACTTTCTCGGGCAATTTGTATAAAATTCAAGCACCACCAAATGGCGATGAAGCCAAGGTTGTTAGCGTCGTGAACGTGTCGTCATTGGTTTTTGGAGATGGCATGGAACTTGTTTCACCCAACAAGCTCGTTGTAGCTGGAAACCCGACAAGGATGCTTGAGAGCTTTGATGACTGGGAAAGCGCGAGGGTTGTCGGGAAGTTTAGAGGCAGTGCCATTCATCGTTTGTCTACAGCAGCCACCGTGAAGGATGGTAGAGTGTATGTTAACCATATGATTGGTATGGGATTTCCCCATAGAAAGCATTTCCTAGTTGAGGCTGTGTTTTCTTCTTGAAACTGTACAAGTCAAATGTAGGGGTTTGGGGGGTAACTAAGTCACATTTTGAGTATATTTAATATCTTTAATCTATTAGATCTTTTTTTCAATTTTGGACATTTTGATAAAACACTATATATTTTGTCTTGATTGGTTTGTTTTGTCACAAGCCGCTACATATTGCCGAACATCGCGACGCATGCCCCGCGAGTAAAAGACATCCGCAAGCCGTTTGAAGGTGCGGTCGACCCCTTGGTGACCCGCCACTCCGCCAGGGGGCTACTATGGAACTCGTGGAGTAGTGTTTGGCGTATGGGCGACTCGGAGCTAATGTAGAGGCGGTGTTTATACAACAACCCGTTATGGAGCGTGATGTACGGAGGCGCGGTCCCTCCTTGTACGGCCGACTGAAGAAATCTGCAATCGGTGCACTGTTCATTATCGCGGCGTAGATCCTCCAATAACATCGGGAGTGGCTATGCATAGGCCATAAAGAGCTTGGCCGGGTCAGTGGTAGGGAGAGGATCGGGTGACTCGCGGCGTGAGAGAGCGTCGGCGACTCAGTTGGACGCACCAGACTTGTATTCTATTCGGAACTTGAAGCCCATTAATTTCCGTATGTAGAGTTGCTGTTCCAGAGTTTGAATCACTTGACCAAGGAGATCTTTTAAGCTTCGTTAATCGCTGCGTATCACAAATTCCCATCCGAGGAGGTACTGGCGCCGTTTGTGTACCGCTTCCACGATGGCGTACAACTCCTTGTGATACGTCGACGCCGCTCGGCACCGCGGACCAAGTTTCTTACTGAAGAATGCCAAGGGATGTCCGCGTTGGAGAAGGACGGCCCCAATCCCCAAATCCGAAGCATCGGTCTCGATGTAGAAGGTCTGCCCAAAGTCCAGAAGCTGGAGGACAGGCACTGTGACTATCGCCTGTTTAATTGGGTAAAGCTAGACTCTGCCGCGTCATTCCATCCGAAACTATCCTTCTTTAAGAGATTTGTGAGGGGTGCGGCGAGCATGGCATACCCGGAGATGAACCGTCGATAGTAGCCAGTGAGGCCCAAAAACCCGCGGAGCTGCGTGACTCACGAGGGCCGCGGCCAAGCAACCATTGCTTCAATTTTCGACGGATCGGGTTGCAAACTCCCATCCGTGACCACATGCCCTAGGTATTCAATCGTAGTTTGGCAAAACGAACACTTTGATATTTTGACAAAGAAGGAATTGGTTTGAAGAGTTTGGAGAACCACTCGAAGATGTTCGACATGGCTGTCGATTGTTGGACTGTATATCAAAATGTCATTGAAGAAGACGATGACGAAGTGTCGTAGGTATTCTCGAAACAAGTCGTTCATAGCCGCTTGGAATGTGGACAGGGCGTTTGTAAGACCGAATGGCATGACAAGAAACTCATAGTGTCCCTCATGCGTTCGGAAGGCCATTTTAAAGATATCCGCGTCATGCATCCGGATTTGATGATAGCCCGTCCGTAAATCTAGTTTGGTGAAGACCCATGCGTGCCCCAATTCGTCAAAAAGTTCATCGGTGGTGGGAATAGGAAAATGATCCGGGATGGTAACGACATTGAGGGCGCGGAAATCCATGCAAAAACGGTACGACCCATCCTTCTTTCGAACAAGCAACACCGGAGAGGAAAAGGGACTATGAATGGGACGGATCAAGCCGTGCTCGAGCATGTCACGAACTTGTCGCTCGATCTCTGTTTTCTGAAAATACGGATAACGGTAGGGCCGAACGTTGATCGGTTTGGCTGCGGCCTCCAAATGGATGCAGTGATCCCATGTCCTAGCCAACGGCAGATTCTGTGGGAGCTGAAAAATAGCCCTATGCTCCTCCAAGGTTGTGTGTACCGAGGCTGGGATGCCCGGGGGAAACACAATGGTGTCCGCCGTTGGTGAGTGGGGTAAGCTATCCGTGGGCATCAATTCAAAGAGCTGCAAGGGTATATGGGTGGCCAAGGAGCACAGCTGCCCAAACGAGATAGGTCGCGGTGACGCCGCATCGCCCCGGAGTGTGATTGCCGAAACGTTCCAACAAAAATCCATTGTCATATTTGCGTAATCATGGCACACCTTTCCCAATGTCTGAAGCCACTGAACACTGAGGTCGACGTCGGGCCCATGGATTTCAAAAAGATATAAGTCGACCCCAAAAAGAATGCCTTGTAAAAGCAGCGGCATGCGCGGGCAAGAGAATGTGCAACGCAGCGAATCCCCGTTTCCAACATAGACACAGAACGGGGGAACCGGGTGAAGTACCAAGGCCAAGCGTTCTACCACCGTCGGATGGAGAAAGTTGTGCGTGCTACCGAAGTCCAAAAGGACATTTACCTCGTGGGTATTGACCGACCCGACAAGCTTAAGAGCACGAGGGCTTGGACTACCGGCCAAGGAATGCAGACTCAAAACGTCGGCCAAGATGACCGCATCTTCGACCTCCGGGGGGGCTGTCTAATTCGATCTCATCGGAAGGCTCAACGTCAGCAGGCCCCATATAAGCGAGGAAACGACCCTACAATGGTGACCGGGTGCCCACTTTTCCTCACAGTACCAACACAACCCTTTTTTGCTACGTTCAATTTTCTGTGCTTGCGTGACCTTGATGATGGGTAACAGCTGTGTTGTGGTAGGGGTGGTAACCCTAGTCCCCGTGGTGGTCGTGGGTGGGCCAACCGGCGTGACACCCGATGAAACAAGGTCTGGCGAACGAGTAGACCACGGCTCCAACTGCACAAAAAATATGATAGGAATCACAGTATAACACAAAAAAATCCAACCAAACAAAACACACTACAAAAAGTCTCTGAAGCATCGGGCCCTTATCCAGCTACTCTAATCCTAGTTCTCCAAAGGTTCTATCTAAAGCCATATTCTCAGTCATGGTGAGAAGTCCTAAATCCTTTCTAATCACCTCCTTCCAATTTTTCCTAGGTCTACCTCTTCCCCTACTTCCCCCGACAACCGTAATCTTCTCGCATCTCCGTACAGGGGCGTCAGCATTCCGTTGTCTTACATGACCAAACCATCTCAACCTCGCTTCCCGCAGTTTATCTTCCACCGGCGCCATGCCTACCTGACGTCGGATAACTTCGTTCGAAATCCTATCCAACCTTGTCTTCCCACACATCCATCGTAACATCCACATTTCCGCCGCATACATCCGACGCACATGAGTTTTCTTAACCGCACAACACTTTGCCCCATATAACATAGCAGGTCGGACTACGGACCGGTAGAACTTACCTTTCATCCTGTGATACAATACTTGTAATAACCTACTTGTGGGTCCATTGTAGTTAGTTGTAATTAATTAATTGTGTATAAATATTATGTTAAAACTATTACCAACTCTAAGAAGATATATAATACTCCGATCCCATCCCTAAAAGAAGTTTTCTGTTCGAACAAGGTATAAAATTCCGTGATTTTTTATATTGGCATAAAAATAAAAATAAAAAAAGACTTGCGTAATTAAAAATTACATCAAAAAATAAAATAAAATAAAAAATGACATGAATACTTTATTTAGAAATCACCTTAAATAGGACTAAAAGATAAAGAAAAGTACCAAAATAGGACTTTCATGTTTTTTTCTCAAAATAAGACTTTGCATTATGGTAATAAGATTGTAATATGACACTATACATGTGCACATTACTATACTTTTTGGTAATGTACATGATCATGTTTGGTAATGTAAATACATTTTAAGTTTTATTTCGGGAATAAAAACATAAAAATCATATTTTGGTATATTTTTAATGTTTTAGTTCTACTTTGGTCTTTCTCTCTATTTTATTTTATCAAATGATCAATAAAAACATACAAAAAAACAAACATTATCGAGAGACTTTAATAGTAAAGAGGTAAATCTTTTTGAAAAGGAGGAAGTAGTTGGTAACCCCTGTATTGAAAGACATGAAAAATACAATCCCCTTCTCAGAATCTCTCATTTCTATTCTCTCTTCTCTTCCATTATACAGTACATCGAAGCTCTCGGGGTCTCCATCGGAGCAGCTTCCTATTTGCTGTATCATTTTACATAGAACTCTTTTCATCACTTTATTCTACCTGGCATGCTTGTATATTTCGCCAATGCGATAAAATTACAATTCCGAAAATAATACGGAGTAATATCTAATCATCATTTGCAAATAGTAGAGAGTAAACAATGGATTGAAATGCACCATTCAAAGAAGGAAAGCATTTAGGACCAAGACATCATACGCTAAGTACATTCCCTCTCTCTATAACCAGCAGTGGGGGACTCATAGCACTCATCCACTTCCACATTTCCAACCCGATCTCCAGCTCATATGTGAAATCTAAACAAATTGAATAAAGCACAGTATATGAGAAGATGGAGATGAGCATAAAATGGTGTACC